TGCAGTATATTTTTTTAATAGTAGTTCTTTAAAAACTTTATACAATATTTTTTATAAAGCTTGATTTATTATATATATTTCAGTTTTATATGAATAATTATTATTGTTGTTGCTGTTGTTGTCGTTGTCGTTGTTGTTGTTGTTATTATCAAATTTAATTTTAGATTTTATGTCATATTCAAGAAGTATGATATGCAGAATTTTCCAACAAATTTTCTGAGAATTTTCTATGAGAAGAAAAAAGAAAATATTAAATAGTATCCTTGATTTTATTGATTCTAGAATGAACTATTAATAATAATGACACAATAAATTTTTGCAAAATATTCATCGTTTTTATTACAAATGCTGTTGGTCATTGGCTCGTTACGTATATATAACTTAAATCGACAAATTAAGAACTAGCGGATTCTAATGTACTTTCGCTTTTTAATTTATGCAAATTCAAATTACTGCACAATTTTTTATTCTAATTGTATAATATTTTCAACGTTTAAATTATATAGTTTTTTGATATGTTCTCATAAATTACACGATTTTTTAAATTTAATCTTTTTTAAATTTAATAAAAGACTAAAGAATTGTATTTATCCCAAATGTTTTTGTTAATTTTTTCATGTGGAATTCAAATACTTACGAATATACTCTGTATATTCACAACATATAATTTTATTAAGTATAATTAAAAACTTAGTATGACAATGCAATGTAAAACATCTAAAGACTTAAAAATGGTATTATGTCTTTACATAAAAATCAATGAAAAAAATGGTATGAAGGCAATCAATGTTATACAAAACATGCATAAAATGAATAAATAATTCAAATGACAAGATATATTAAGACATATTAACCTTTTAATTTTAAAGAAAAAAAGGACCTAGCAAATACTAAAACACAATTTTATGTAAAAATAAAATATAATATAAAGTCATATAAGATCCAATTTTTAACATGTTTATTTTTATTTTTATTTATTTTCTTTTTAATTAAACAAATGAAAGTTGTTTATATGTATATTTATATATTTATATACATTAATGTAATTTGCACTCTTTAGATAACTTAAATTATGCATCTAATGAAAAATTAATAAACATAAAAGTATGGCTTCAAAAGGGGCAAAAGATGGGTCACTAAAAGCATGTCTACCTTCTCATTATTGCTGAATTTCACTTCTGCTTTATAAAAATCGCAAATTTTAACGATAGAATGAAATTGTAGAATCTTGACTAGAATCTCAATGAATATTCACAATCTTTATACTACGCTCTAAATATGCTTCTTCATATTGCTCTTAAGATAGATTATTGTTAAATATCTCGTTAATCATTAGACTTAAGACCAAAGTTAATACTTTTTTACTTGGAAATCAATATTCTTCCAATCTATGATAAAAAGAAAAAGTTGTTATTAATTTCATTTAAAAAAAAACAAAAACCTTGAAAATTTTGAAACCTCTCCATAAACAAAAAAAGTCGATATACCATAGTCCTATTGGAACCATACAACTTTTGTATTTAAGAAGTTTTTATTAAACGCATAATTTAAAAGTTATTTGAAGTATATAAGTTACGTGAATTATCCTGTATAATATATAGTATGTCAGGTTTATCTGACAACTCAAATATTTCGAAAAAAATAATGAATAAAAAATGATACAAAAAATGTCTCAAACGAAAGTTGTAGGATATAGAAGGGAAAATATGGTATATTGAGAAGTCCTATAAAAATTTTAAATATATTTAAATATTTTTTATTACATATTTTTTCTTATACATTGAAAACAGTGTATACTATTTTTCAAGCACTTCTGATGATATAAACAAAAAATATTTTAAACAAAAGTTAGTCAGCTTCCTATCAACTACAAATTGCAATATTCAAAATTGTCAAAATATGTTTCTTTTGATAAAAAAATCATCTTAATTTTTTTAAATAGCACTATGTATCTTTAATTTCGTGACGTTGTAGCTGATGTCAAGATGAATTCAACCACTTATAATATCGCAATTCAATTGATCTTAAAGAGTTTACATATCTTTGATAGTCAGAAAAATTGACTTTGAAAATGTTGTATATTCTTTTAAAACACTCTAAAAAATAATTAACTTAGGGGCATCTAATGCTAATAGATAAGTGAAATTTTAAAGAACGTTTTTCTCGGAAAATGAAATTTTCAAAATCGGTATTAGAAATATGTGAAAAACCACCGAATCAATTTAGATAAAAATTTGTGGTAATATTCTCAAAGTTGTTATCTACTATTTGACGAAGTGAAATTCTGATTTGTGCATTTTTCTTTTTCCATTTTTATTACCAAAGGAAATGAAAGTTCACGATGAAAATTACATATTCAAGATAGCTATCACTTTTTGAAAAATTAATACTTTAAAAGTCGATTTCAACAAATACTAACTTCTTTTATATAATTTAACATAAAATTAAAACAATTTGCTTTGAATAAAACTACACTGAGATATATCTGATACCACAGACTGTATTTCAATGAAACGGTCATAGTTAAATCATTGTCATGTCCTCTTACGTATATTTAGTTTAAACTTTTAGTGATCACTAAAATCACTACTGTGGACAACATATAATGAAATGAACGTTATTTTTTTAATGAAATGTAATTTTATCTCCAAAAAATTTCTTATTTAAAGATATGTAATCCCTTTGAAGAGCAGAAATCTGTATTTGACTCATAAGAACATTAATTCAGAAATGCAGATTTTTTAAGATATTTAAGATTTAAGATATTTTTTAAGATATTAGATCACATGTTTAGGAAGAATATATATATATATGATATAT